CACGGGGAGGCCACGGGCTGGGCAGCGCCGGGCAGGGTGCGGCCGCTCCCCAGCCCGGCTTGGAGCCGGTCTTTGCTCACCAAACTCTTCCTTTTCCCCGAAAGCTCTGCTGTTGATGGAAGAAGTGGTACCAAAGTGGCCATTAAGAAGTTGTACCGCCCGTTTCAGTCCGAACTCTTTGCCAAACGAGCCTACCGAGAGCTGCGCCTCCTGAAGCACATGAAGCACGAAAACGTGAGTTGGGGCGTTGGCAGGTATCCCCCAGGGCCGCAGTTCACACACCCTAAAAACAGAAAATCACGCGGAGTTGGACGAGGCAGATGTGTGGCTGCATGGTATTCGTGAGTCTTTGAGCAAGACCTGCGTGTCTGTCTTTTGTCTGTCTGTCCATTATCTGCAAACATCGGTTTGCACACACTAGAATATCCTGTGGGAAACGCCAGATCGTTTCCACGTAGGAAAGGTTGGGTGGGGAAGGTTAGGACCACGGTGGAATTTGTGCTCAGAGCTAGTAAGAGAGATTGAAGACAGTCTCCATCACTGCATTCCTGTGAGGTGCAGAGCAGGGGTCTGTGGTGCCCGCATCCCTTTGTTTCTGAACTTGGGTGAAGATGGCTGTGGTACACGTGCGTGTCTTTGGGGAGCAGGTAGGGTTTTCCTTTTTTTTTTTTATCGTTCGTGAAGCATTTGAAAGTTTTGGGTTTGTCCTAATGTGAAACAGGAAAAGTTTGTGAATGACTAAATAAATTGTTTTCCTGGGAAGTGGAAAATAGGATACAGAGCTCTGCGCAGATTCCCACGTGATGTTAGAGAAGTGTTGAACATGTCATTGAGATAAAAGATGCTTAGTCGCAGCAATGCTTAATGGTTTAAGAAAAAAAATGAGGAGATATCTGTGTGAAAACAGTTACTGTGGAATCAAAGCACGGGCTCCAGAGAAGAAGGGTCCCAGGGTGGGCTTGGAGGATCATAGTAGTGGCTTTAAATGTTGTTCATCAGAAATGCATGTGAAAAAAAGGAGAATTTGGAGGGATTTGTTAAAATGATGCATAAGAATCTGGTTTAAAATGTTAATAACGTAGAATATAGCTTAATTCCTATGGCCTTCAAGGAAAGCAAAGAAAGCAAGGATAAGAGAAACTGGTAATAACAATAGCCAGTCATTGCCATTTAATGTTAGGGTGTTAACATTGTGAGTACCAGCAGTATCCAGGTTCATTCTGAAGAATAATCTGTGGGATGTCTTGACTGTCCAGAAAAAACCAGACCTTTCTATAGGCTTAAGAACCTGTTAACATTTTAGTCTGAGTCTTTTACTACATTTGATCCCCTTACCTGATCCCTTTGAGGTAAGTGCTTCTTAACCACTGCTGTATATGTTAAAGAGTTAACGTTTCCAGGGAATTTGTGTGTCATGCATGGGCTTTCATACTTTAAGCATTTTCTTTACTGAACATTTGGGAGCAGAGCAGCTTGTGCAGTTGCCAAGCTCCTAACTGTGTCCAGAATTTTGAGATTATTTTTCTTCCATTTCCCAGAATAATCTGTTGGGTAGCATTTTCCACTCCTGGTGGTTTTTATGTGGTGTATGCCCTTCAGGATAATACTCAGCAACCCCTCCATGGACTCGTTTGATAATTAAAGAGTCTAGAAGAAAATGCTCACTGGGGAATGTGAGTACAATCTGAAAAAGTTACAAATCAATATGCATGAAGGAAGGGAATAATTTACAGTTTTAGGAAACAGTTTGGGACACAGGAAGAAGAATCTGGTCTACAGACTAAGGAAAAGTTTTACCATGAATTACGGCATCTACTCATTAGAGAACAAAGACTGAATAAATGATCCCACAAGGATTTGTGGGCACCGTAGAGGCAGAAGCTGACTACTCCACCCATCCACGATGAGGCTGACAGGGCAGCACATCCCATCAAGAGAATTTCCATCCACCATCCCAGCCTCACACCCTTCGGTCAGTTGTTTTGCCCACAGTGATTTAGGAATAGCAACAACGCCCTTCAGGATTTCTAGTCCCCGTGCTGATCTCAGGATACTGCTTTAGCCACTCCACCCATCCAAAATTAAACCAGAGTGGCAGTGTCACTCCTCATCAGGATTTTCAGCCTCTCATTTGACCCACCACCATTCTGTCAAAGACCCTTTTCTGCATATTTCCACCGAGGGATGGTTTTGCAGGCAGACAGCAATGTCCTTTCCTGTTCACATCAGCAGTCTGTGGTGTGCCATACACACCTTTAATGGTACGTACAGTAGTGGCAGGACAGCTGTCTGTTCTCTGTCATTACCCTCGTGGCTTCCGTGGGTCTGGCTGTGGAGTTTTGAATGGGACCCACTCACATGGGTGCCTATCTCCTTATAACAGGAATCAGTAGAATAGAACAGTGATTAAAGTATCTTTCCTGATTTTTTCTGTTGGCCAATATGTTACAGCATTCTTCTTTGAAATAGCAGTTATCTTTTTTTCTGGCTGTATTATAACAAAACTGCTATTAAAAATTAATAAAACAGAAGTAATTGTTTCAAAGACCACAATAAAATAGCGATGCCACTGTTACCTGTCTTGGGTGTTGGTAATCTCAGTATCTAAAGGAGGTGTTGTGTGATAGGTGGTCTAACAGTACTGCCACAATGGATTAGACTTGGGATGTTGTTGCAACATTGCACTAGTCTGCCAGTACAAATTTTGATCTTGCTTTTTTCCTTCTTCAGGTTATAAACTATATCAAGGTTCTGTTTATGTGATAGTTAAAATTACATCTGATTAAAATTACATCTGAAAACACTCCTCTGATCTGTTTTTCTTTTAAAATTACTTCTGTAATCATGATGCATTTGATGTTGGATTACATGAAAAGTGTGATGTTTTGTTTGTTTCACCATGATTACCTTTCGATGGACCATCTCTGCCCTTCATGGCTTTGGGGGCAGTGTTGTGTTAAGCATGTAGCAATATATTGTCATAGCTTATTTAACCTTATGCTGTATTCAGGATGATGGGAGAAATTGTAATGGTCTGACACTTTGTGTTATAAATAGCACCTCTGGTCCTCCATTAAGGTAGCAGAAGATACCATTAAACCCATGTCACAGTGATGTAATTCATCAGCATTTCATGCTTCAGTGAAGAAAATGGAGGAAAACTTATGCTTAATACTCTGGATGACCTCCATTGTAGACCCTTTGAGGAATACGCTAATCTCCTTAATCTGGAAGGGTTGTAGGATGACCAGGACTCCTGTAAAAACAAACATGGGAGTCATTCTACTGAATTTTACTGGAATTGTATTTTACCTGGTAAGGAACCTAAGTCATGGGTTAATTTGCTTGTCTGTTCAGGCATTTTCAGGAGAAGGCTGGCGTGGCCATCTTTCATTATACATGCTAGACCTTTGTTCTCCCAAATGGCACTCAAGTGGGATGTTACTTAAATGTAGCGAGGAATATGTCTGTGTAATTGTGCAAACTCGGTAGCATGGCATTTCTCATCAACCCTTTGCAAACAAATCCAGAGCAGAAATGGTGTTGAGGACCATGGGGCAGAGTCTGTGCGTGAAGAGGGTGAGACCTGACTGTTAGGAGATAAATCACTGTCTTTAATGGCACCTGTATCCTTGTTTTTTAGTAGGCCTTTCAATTTGAGAGGATCTGGGATGTTCACAAACATCATAATCCACTGCTGCTGCCTAAGAAGCTGTCTAACGCAGATCAGTTCCTCAGACATTGCCAAAAAGAAAAGTTAGTTTGCAGTGGGATAACGCTGCCAGATCACCGTGTAGCTGCATAAACAGATACTCTGCCACCAGAGTGGGGTTGGTGTGAAAATGAGGAATAAAAGCAACTTAGGCAGAATGAAGAAAGCACTGTTTTGGGGTGAGGTTTTATCTTCATTTATTCATGCTAGCTTGAAGTATTCATCCCACTACAGCCCTAGCAGCTCTTGATTATTTCTTGGGCATCTGCTGCATCTTGCAGAGAAGAACGGACTGTTTACCTTTCGAAAGTTTTTTTCAGTGGTGCTGCTTTTGTTCCCTGCTTCTTTCAGTTTGAGTTCAGTTAAAGTGAGGACCCTTAAAACTATCTATTATGGCTCTTATTTAAAACCAAAACCAGTGAAAATATGACCAGTGTGCTAACCTTGGCCCTGGCTTTGGCTCAAACATTTGCATAGCTCTGCATTCGTGTGTTCTTCTGAAGCTAATGGAGATGTCTTTATGAAGAGCTAAACAGAGAGCAGTAAGCAGAGGTGCAGAACTCTTAGTTTGATTTGGCAAATAACTTGGATTTTATTGTACATTTGGACTGGAAGCGACCCCGTGATACCCACTTTTGTTGGAACAACTGCATAGTGACTTGCACTGGTCCAGTCCCTGTGCTCTTTTCACCTCCCAGTTTGCTAACAGCAGTTTTGAAGTTGCCAGGAGGAGTGCCAAATAGCTGGCAAGGAGAGATGGCACTGGAGGGGGAGAGAAAAGCAGCGGCTCGTGCCGATGTCTTGTGTTGGAACAGTGTGGATTTTGGGAAAGTGTGGTGTATGCATATACCTATGTGTACATGTAAGCACATACAGTAATTCAGACCCAGTTCTACTAACTTAAATTCTGAATGTGTTTCTGGCATAAAATTTTTAACAAATGCATGTTAAAAGTTTCTTGGGTCAGTTAATATTCTACAGATGTTTTCTCTTCCTGGAAACCCTCTATGTAAGAGGCAACTGCAGTATTTGTTTAAAGGTACTCTATATTACGCTCTCATTCATTGCTCTGAGCGGAAATTATTCTCTGGTGTATTCCCACATCTGAAGACCAGTGTGTGTTTCGCATTATGAGAACCATGTTGATTTTTCTTTTCCCCCTTTTAGTAGGATCTTGTGTATCCACCAGACACCAAATTGTCTCTATCTCTACAGTTACGTTTCTGAGGATGATACAGGCCTTCACTTTTAGGTTGGCTAATATTTAATTCTGTTGACTCCTTTATTTAGGAAAAAACATTGGGCTTTTTATTTACAGCTACACAGCATCAACCAAGGTAGGAGTTTGTTGAAGAGAAAATAGTGGGGCACTGTGTGTTCCTGCCTGAGAAAAACTTAAATCTGTCACCCTTTGCAGTTCATGAGCATTGCAAGAGTAACAGCCTCTGTGGTGTACAAAATCAGACCAAGAAGGGAGCTGTAGATGCCTTTACGGATGAAGGCATGCTCACTGTGTTTAGAAGAGGTTTCCTGCAGCAAGTCCCACAGAACTGACCCAGCTAAGAATTCGTGTCCTTTGGGTACACAAGTGCCAGTAAAGTGCAATTCAGGAATCCTGGCTGGCAGTGGCAAATGGGTACTTACGAAAGCAAACATACAGTTATAACTGGATGGTTTATTGCTGTCAAAAGGTTGTGGGGGAAAAATGCTCCTGGCCACTTTTCTGCAGTCTGAAAGCTTATCACAGCTAGGGAGGTAACAGGACACCAGTCACTTATTTTGGTATTCAAAAGCCAATAAATCAACATAGTGGTCTTGGTTGTCACTTCTTTGTTTTCACAAACCTGCCTAAGAGATGTTTTACCTAGGCTGGGCTTCAGCTGACAGCCATTTATTCACACCCCAGCCTTGGGTGCTAATAAAGCCAACTGATTAGCCTCATCCAGTAAATGAAAATAAGACAGCACTGAAACCCAAACCTTCTCATTGGATTGCCATCCAATCCAGAGATCTGTCTGTCTGCAGGATTTGGATCTGTCCAGTGTTACGTATGGGTCCTTTGAAAGAAGAATGTGTTGACCCTCGTGGGTACGGCGTGTGCCCGCCGGTGTGCCGGCTAGCAGGAGAAAGGAAAGGAGCACTCTGTCCATCCGCAGCATCCCTTGTGTCACGTAGCAGTAATTAATGACTGTGGCACAAGCCTTGTGCGTGGATAGTTAAATATATTGAGACTTCTTGGTGTAATAAAAGGATGCAGGTGCCATGTGATGTGGAACAGTGCAGGAACATGAAGTTGAAGCTAACCCTGCAGAAAAATTAATGCAGCATAATATGTAGTTCAGCGTACCCCAGCAGGGATCTCTCTTAAAAAATGTACTTGTGTTTGTAGCCTGAGTGCCAAAGCCACTCAACTTCACTGTGTTTTCATGCGTAACATCTGCAAGAGAAAGCAGTGCTTAATGTGTAAGACATAACCTACATTATTTATTAATTTATACAAGATCCAAGTCTTTCGTTGATGTGCTGCAGCTTACATGAGAAACACCTTAACAGAAACGCAGTGGAACGGTCCTTGAATAGAAGTCACCCAGTACATGAAGGTGCAGGGGAGGGCAGAGATGAGGAGCTCTTAGCTGTTGTTACACTGCTGGAGTAACATTTGGAAAAGGAGGGGAAGGAAAGGGCAGAAACCACTTTGCTAGTGCAAAGCTGTTATTTGTTTGTTGATAGTAGTTAAAGTTGGTCAGGGTGACCAGTGTAAATGCTTTTGGGAGGATGGGTAATAGGGATAAGAAGGGCTGGAGACACTGCCACCCACCCCACACTGGCTTCATGGGGAAGAGACACAATCAACAAAGTAAATATACGGAGTAAAAGCATACCTGTGGAAAACAAGTTAGACCAGTAGACTGGTAGCTTTGCTGCTGCTGTGGTTTTGCTTTGCAGGGAGATGGGAGAGACACAGTATTTCACCTGAGATAGAACCAAGGAAGGTACTTCAGTGGAGACTGCAGAAATCCAGGTTGTTTTTCAGTCAGATGGGAGGTAGGAAAAAAGGTGCATCCTTTGTGGGCTAATTCATTTGAGAAGCTGCCTTTTGGCAGAGTTAGTGGGGAGACAGATGAGACCCTGAAAGGGCCGTGCTGCTGATGGTTTCTACAGATGCTTTTCATTGCCTTTGCAGTGTCCTGGGTTCGTTCCTTGGCTGCGCTTCCATCTCTGATAGTATCAGTAATTGTGCTGAATTAACACCAAAAATAGATCTACAGAAGGTTCCACAGATACCTCTGTTACATTTCAGATGGGCCACACTGAAAAATAAATTACTCTTGTAATTGTTTTACGGTAGCTTACTTTTGTGCTGGGACATTAAGTATTGTAAAGGGTATTTTTATAGATTATGTAATTGAGAGCATTTTAGACAGACACAGGATTTTCCATGATATTATGAAGGAGTTCCCTGCACTTTGTCCAGTTCTTTTCCTGAAGAAGTAGACGGAGTTGTATCTTCCTCGGAGGATTTATTCTATCCTCCTACCTCCTTGTGCTTAACACATCTGCAGAAAGCTGTGATCTAAATGGAAATACTGTTGACTCTGTTCCAGTACAGGAAGATCATCCCAAAGTGCAGCTATTAAATGAAGATCACTGAGGAAAAGGAAATGGGTCCCTCACTTGATTTTTAAACGGATTAATTAATAGCATTTCTTACCAATTTGGACACTAAAATGGATTTCAGGATTTTTAGAAAGTTTACTTTGTAAAGCAAGAGAAAGTAGTATTGTGAAATCCTTGGCACGTTAAAAGAGCGTTCGAGTTTATTATTTCCAGTTCCCCTCAGCGGGAGCTGAGTGATGCTCTTGGTGGTATCCTTCACTGCAGCCATGGTAAGCTTGTCCCTGCGAGTCTGCAACCTTACCTCGGAGGTAATGTGTATTGTATATCAGGGAGTATGTGGTAACAACCAGGAACTGCGTTTACTTAAATGGAGAAGCAGTAAAATGCTAGTGAAGTACATTAGGTGTGGTTTGGGGCTGGTATGCTCTTTATGGAAATGTGTTTCAAACGTGTTTTCACAGTGGACACCTGATAATGCCTTGGAGCACAGGTGGATGCAGTGCAGCAGCCACACTATTTCCTCCTCTGCTGTGTCCCTTGTTTTTATTGTGGTGTCCCTGTGTCCGTCGCTGCTGCATTCAGGTGTGATGGGGTTTGTCTTCTTACGTTTCTGGCTTAGGTAAATGAAGGCATGGAAATACCTTCTTGAGGAGAACAAGCAGGACTTCTGAAAAAGTGGGGTGGAAAGATACCCATACTGGAGAAGATTAATGTTAAAATGTTGACTTCCTTCTTTTTAATGCTGAGATGTGTGGAGAGCACACAACTCTTCTGGCTGTGTATGCTCTGTGTGTGTGTGTACACACTCTCTTAGGGCATGCCTGTAGCTGCATTATGCTCCATTGTTGTCACGTACCTCTTCCTAACTCCTCTCTCCTCCCTTTCTCTCCCAGCCTCCACACAGAAATGGAAAGCTGTATGTAAAACTGCCATTAAAAAAAAAAAAAATCTTCCAGTAATGTTAGCAATGTTAGTTCCTTCAAATAATGACAACATCCTTCTTGGGTTTAATTACTGCTTTATGATAGTTATATTATTCTTATTTAATTAGTTTCATACAACAATCCTCAGGAAAATATTGCTAGTCGGTTTTTTTCAAAGATATATGTGGCCACAGAGGAAAAGAATTGTAATTTTCTCTCTTTGTATTTATAAGTTCTTCTGCCTTGTTCATTTTTATGATATTTTGTTAATCCAGGCTAACAGTAGTAGTTCCCCTTGAATGTGGAAAAGATAAAAATACATGCAGTAGGGATTTCATCACAGTTGGAGATTTTAATTTAAACCTTTAAATAAAGGAAGCCGTCTTTCCACACTTGGATTATTTTCCTGCATTTCTGCTTCTCCTTACTTTCGCATACTTTTTTAAAGAACCCTGTTTTATGGAGCAATTAAGACATAGTGGTAATGTCCAAAATCCATCTTGATTGTTATCAAAATGGATTTTGCAGTCATAGAATCACAGAATCATAGAATCACAGAATGGTTTGGGTTGGAAGGGACCTTAAAGATCATCTAGTTCCAACCCCCCTGCCATGGGCAGGGACACCTTGCACTAGACCAGGTTGCTCAAAGCCACATCCAGCCTGGCCTTGAAGACATCCAGGGATGGGGCATCCACAACATCTCTGGGCAACCTGTTCCAGTGCCTCACCACCCTCTCTGTGAAGAATTTCTTCCTGACATCTAATCTAATCAGTCCTCCTTTTAGTACTTTGATAACATCAGACAATGTACTATGCCATTACCCTTGGGGTCTTTCTTGCAGCTTCTAATCTTTTACGTTTTTAGCTTAATATATAATCTGATGTCCTTGAATTGTATGGCCATGGAGATAGGTCTGAACAAGGTTATAAAGGTTATTAGTCTTTCATCTTGCTTTTCAGCAAGGCCTGCACACCCCTATTCACACAGCAGCCTGCACCTGGGAAACACCACGAGCAGTCTAGGGCCTCGGAGTCTTCCTCTGAGCAGACAGAAACGGTCGTGAATGAGCAGTAGAAGTAGAAAAGAAGGAACTGTAAAAGCCTGTGCTGTTTAGGCACTACTTGGATTAAGCCTCATCCATGCTGAGGTCTGGCTTTAGACAATTCCAGCTGCATCTGTTGGAGCAGCGAGTTCTGTATATTCAGTTTTCTGGTGTTTAATGGGCTTGAGAGAAGCGTTGGCAGTTACCATAATGCATCTAGTCAGTTGGTATAGTTCTGCTGAAAACCATGCCAGTAGGAAAAACTGTGGTGGGAAATCTGTTTTACTACTTTTTTATTTCTCTGTTGAGTGATAGAATGCTTTTGTTTGACAAAAAATACTCTTAAGGAGAACCTAAGGTATAAGCCATAGTAAATCATAGTAGGCTCTTGATAATTTACTCTTTTTATAAAAATGGTTTTGTCTTAGTTCATGTACCTAAATTACCCTGTTACTGAAATTAGAAGACATTTAAAGTGTTCTTCATTGTCAGGCAGCAGGCCCAGCTAGCTGAATAGCACTTATGTCTGCTTCAGGTTATAAACTGATTTGGCTGGTTTATTTTTGACACCTCAGTGGTTCAAGTTAAAAGACATTCTCTCCTCTTACATAAAACTGTTAACCTCTGAACTTTCTGTTCAAGGAAATACTTTTTTTTTTTTCCCCCCTTCTTTTCTATCACAGCATTGAACAGCCCTCAGAGTTATAAAATTCAACACATAACAAATCCTGGTGTTGCTAGGCACTGCTTTAGGTATTCTTTCTCCTATCTTAATGCCTGTAGCTAATGTCTCACTATGGAAATGTTTTTGATTATATCTTTTCACTTATTATTCAGTTTGGGATTTTGTTGTGTTAAATCAGTATTGATCCCCATTTGTGTTCTCTCTCCCTTATTTTTAGGTAATTGGAATATTGGATGTGTTCACACCAGATGTAACACCGGAGAAGTTTAATGACTTGTAAGTTCTGAGTTGTTTGTGCGGGAGGAAGGTTAGGTGTTTTTTTAAATGGAAAATTCCAAAATTGTCACTTCATGGATTTTTTTCTGAATTTTGTCTTAATATAACTCTTATGTGCAACTTCAAAATGGGTAGGCTGAGGTTTTCAGATTGTCATTAGAACTGGTTACCTATCTTGTAAGGTGTGTACTACTTTCAGTCCTTCATAAATGGCAGTTTGGTGGATTCCCTAACCCACCTTTGAAGTACTGATTCCTCACCCCAAGGACAGGTTGTCCACACGATGAGACAATTCTTAGCTCAAATAAGTAGGCTGAAAATGATGCCTGCTGCACAACTCTGCTACACATCTCTGGTGTGATCCATCCTAATTTGAGGATTAATTCAAAACTGCTGATACTGCTGAATTTTTTAGTGGTTGTCTGCACTGTGGTTTGTTGTACTCCCTGACTGGTTTCCCAGTCCAGTGGTCCAAACAGCACACAATATAGATCGTTTCTAGCATGATGCATGTACATCTCCCTGACCTTTTGGCAGCATCTCAGACACAAGATAGTTAGCATGTCTGTTGTTCTGCTTGTGGATCCTGCTGCAATTCTTGTGAATTAGAGTCACTGGAGAAACAGTGGTCAGAAGTCCTGGTGGGCTTAATGTAGATTTCATGTTGCATTCATAGAACTGTTCTTGATTTCATCTAATGTAGCTGTGTTTCAAAAACAACCTGGCGTATTTATATGTTAACAAAGAAAGCTATTGTGGATTTACAGGAAAATGTAGAAAATGAAGTAGAGAAAACATGGACTGTGTGTTCATATACATCATTTGGACCAAAATGATCATTGAGCCTAACAGGATGTTGTCCATATTGCCTATTGTGCTAGCATTTTATATGGCATATGTAATAACATGTGCGTGTATATGATTAGCATTCAAACACTGTGTTTTAAATGGGACCCTAAAATCATCCTTTCAAGTTTTGGAGGTTGTTTTGCCTCCACACACCTCCACACTCCTGCATTAGGCCGCCATTCACAATTACATCCCCCTTTAGTTAGGTTAGTGCTAGACCAAAATTTCTCAAAATAGGTCTGGGTTCCATTGTGGTTTTGCCACTCCCACTGGTACCACTGTAGTGTGTTTTTTGCTAGTAGTGTTATCTCATTGGCAGCTTAAAAACAGGTCACCAAAGAACTTATCCTACTGCATCACAACCTTCCCCTGTATGGTCTTTATATGAACATGTTACCCAAGTATTGTTAGTAAGCTTTACATGTGTTTGATTCCATCTTCCTCGGTATTTATAGCAATTGTAAGGACGGCAGTAGGGGTCAGAGCAGTCAAATCCTAGAGAAAATGTCCATTCACAATCACTTTTTCCCATTTGCACTCTGTTGTCTCTCGTCCGATTAAGGTAATAAATGCCCTTCCCAGCAAAACGAAGTCACCAGGCGTCGCTGTCCTTGGTCCAGAACTCAGTTCCCTCATGAACTGTACTTAGCTTGCTGACCCACCGTTTGGGTTGCACCAGGTGGGCTATCCATGGCCAATCTTCAAATCCTCCTGGGCTTCCACACACGTAGCAGTTAGTAAGGTTAAATGAGTTTGCTGTTTCCTATCCTAGAGTCACAAATCTGTTCTCCCAACTTACGCCTTGGTCACAAAGGCAGCATGGCATCAGCGATGTCGTCATCATGATCAGAGCACAAGCCGGGACAACAGTCTTTGGAAATAGTTTTAAGGCAGAGGTGTCCTCTTCCGCACCGGCCTTCATATCCAGGTACACGGATAGTATCCTCTCCCGAATGGCCCGTTGTGGTAGACAGGTAAATTTAGTGTTGCAGCACCTGTAAGATAAAATTCTGTACCATCTAGTTATTCTCGTAAATAACATTTAGTGGCAGGGACATATTCCCACTTTTCTTGCCCGTGCCTCATGATCGGAATTGTATTGTCTTTTCCCGTGGCTATCACTTCAGCTGGTTCGGGAGGGCTGTTGGACCCACACTTTTGCCCCACTGTTGAGGCCAGTAGATCCAAATCCTTTATTGCCATGAACAGTGGTAATTTGGGGTGGATCCCCTTTCTTTACCACTATTTTCAAAATTAGCAATTCTGCCACTCTGTTATGAGGTTGAATAATTAAATCTTGTTCACCATTATTTAATAAAATTGCTTTAATTTCTCCTTGATAATCTACATCAACCACTCCTCCGCAGCAGTACAAACATATTTACATCCTTGGTCCTGGGGTAGAAGTCCAATGTAATCCATTTGCCAAATTTGTCCTAGCAATTTTCCTCTCCCCAGTTGTCCTTTCACAGTGTTTGGCACCAGGCTTTTGTGAGTGTTTTGGCACACGGCGCATTGGGCGATTATAGTTTTGATCATATCAAGTGACATTGTTATGTCATGTTTTTGAGCCCGCCTGTAAGTAGCTTCTTCTCCGAGGTGCCCACGTTTTTGGTGCGCCCATTTCACCAAGCCTTCATGATCCTCCTTCTGAGGGATTTCCAATCTGGCTTGGGAAATCTTTGCCCAGTTGTCTGCAGCAGAGTTATAGAGTCGTTCTAAGGTGTCTGCGTTACTGCGAGCATCGACATGAAGTACAGTCACCCAAATATTTTCCCACAGTTCCTTTCCCCAGGCTTCTTTGGAATGTATTTTCCAATTTTTGGCTATACATGTTGGCAACCAGGTAGATAACTCATTAGCTACTGACCAAGAATCAGCGTATAGATGGCATTCTCCCAAGTCGTCTTGTTTATTATGCCGAATCATTTCTCTAGTCTTTTTCCAAGGATACAGGTCAGAGTATGGCTTCCAATCCTCCTTCTCTCCTGGAACAGCTGATCCACTCACAGGGGGCCCTCCATGAGCAGATGTGAAGTCCCGTTGAGGCTCCAGAGGAGGTGCCATAGGCTGAGTTGCTCCTGGATCTCTTGCCTTGGAATTCTGCACTTTCTTGTTGGGTTTGGTCAGCCCCCGCTGTTTATATATTCTTCACAATTCGTTAGTTGGCACACCATCAATCTTACCATGGGGTATGCCGTCTTTCAATAAAGCCGTAAACATTTCCTTCTGAGAGATATGGGTTTTGTTACTCTTAGAACTGTCTCAGTTATCTTGGTTTCCTGCACTTCCTCGGAGGCCCCATTCCCCAAGGTCACCTAACTGCTATATTTTCTCAATTACTTTATCAGGGAGGTTTCTTGTCTCATTAAGCAGGAGAGTCAATCACATTTTTATATGCTGGTGGGGCAGTCTTAATCAGTCTATTCCTCATTGTAATAGACAAGGCATTCTGCATCAGGGCATCAGCATCCTCTAGGAAGACGGCCCGTTTCATCCCTTTTTCCTTAATTTGTTGTATACGATCCCGCAGAGTGTACCACTGACACTTGGACCCTGGCCAGTCATTTTCTGTGGCGTACTTGATGTTACATCCCCGAGTGGCCAAGGGTAACAAACTAGTGTCTTAGTCGTTATTTCTAAATGCATCTTGCACAGAAGTGTCTGAACTTAAAACTTCTTAGAATTGCCTGCATCCAGAGTAACCCCTGATGCTCCCTGATTGTGTAAACGTACCATCCAGGAAAGCAGTGGTTCCCCTGGCCTTTGTTTAAACTGTTCACTTCTATCATTTAGTTCATGCTGAGTAAAATCCTCTACCACATCCTTACTCACCTGTTGCCCATCAGCATCCCACTCTAGCTTCCGTCTTCGCACTGGTCTCGCACCTACAGATTCATCAGGGGGATCAGCCTCGTCAGAATCCGTAGAATCCCAAATATCTCCGTCCCGTTTATCGGGATTCCTCTGCAAGCCTGCTTCTGCGATCGCTGGGCACACTTTCTTATGATTCACTCATCCCCTCCTCTTCTTATATTTCTGTTGCACAACCCACACTGCAGCCTTTTCAGCTACAGTCTGATAAGCATCCAACTTATCAGCAAGTGACTTATTTTGGCACTGTAACATTGCAACTTGGTTCCGCAAATCGCACATCTGTCGCTCCATGTGGGAGCCTTTTAACAATTGCTCTTTCTGTTGGTGCTGTTTCGGATATGCCATTAACAAAATCCATCCCCATCTTCCCAAACCCACAACTTCTTTTCCTTTTTGAATAGGTGTTTGTTTTTTTTTTTTTTTAATAGCTTTTAACACATCCAGTGGCTCAGCTTCTTTCAGCCGACTTTCCCATGGCTCGCGTGGTCCTCCGACCTTAGCCCGCTTAAGGGCCAGTGAACGATAGGGAGGGTCGTCCCATCCAGGAATTTCAGACAGGGCTGATACAGTCTGTTTAGTTTTAAAAAATTAAATTTTGCCAGATCTTGTTCGTGACACCAATTTTGTTTTGCCAGTTGATGGAGTCAATGGAAAGGACACAGATGCCAATAAAAAGAATAGACTGACTTTACTGTCTATTTCATAGTAATACAAAACCAAGATAATGCATGTAGCTAATAAGATAAGCCTATTATGCCCGGGTCTAAGCAGCAAAGAAAATAAGTGACACTACACAAAATTAGCAATAGTGATTAAGAAAGATACATCACCAATTGCCCTAATACTTTACCATTATCCGGATCCACAGTCGCTGGGGAGCCCCAGTTGCAGCGTGGATTTGGAGAACCTGGCAATCGGGAGGTCTTACGCAGTGTGTCCACTCGTAGGTGAGGTCTCCAAAGTCGCTGCAAGAGAGTCCAGCTTTTATACCGTTGAATAAACAACTTTGGAAATTTCAAGCACGGAAACATCTGGCGTCCCCCTCCCTGCTGGATTCCACCCAAAGTCTGGCCAGGGCCCAGGGAGGAACCCAAAGAAGTGTCTATATCTATTTTGGCTTTGACCATGGATTTCTTAACAAGTCTAGATGTCTGGTTTCATATCTTTACAACTAACCTCGAAATAGCAACAGAGCTGTCTGGTGGTTACTGGTGCCTAATAAGCGTTACAGCAAAGCTTTACAGATCAGCAGCAAATATCCTCCTTAGCTTATTTGAGGATTCCAGCTGTGGATTATAAATACATTTTTAGTAATAGAAGTAAGTTTGCAAAGTTTTAAGTGGTAGATAAAGTGTTAAAAGTGAGATGATAGAGTTTGAGCCCACTGTTGTCCTGTTCCAATGTGTGGCTCATAAACGAGCACAATTTGAACTTCCACACTCAGATAGGTGTGGGTTTTCCCTCTCTTACATTGTTTTTTGTCTCCACCCACCTAGACCTCTTTCTGGCTGTAGGAGATTTGAAGTCATCAATTTGTACACATAGTAAATTGTGCATAGGTAAAAGTACAGTTGTCTTTGTTCTTCTCATCCTGTTCTTTGCAGTGCTTAATGGTTATGTATTGTTTCAAACTTTGCCTATTCACACAAATCACTACCCATCCAGAGCCTTGGGTTTTGTACAGGTGGTGGCAAACAAGCAAAATCCTGATGAATGCTTGAAGGTCCCTACCAGCAGTAAAAGCTGTGTAGTTATTTCTCTGTTTCTCTTGCCTCATCTCTTTCTAACTCTGGGGTTTTTTTCTAGAACAGTCACTAAAGATTTTTTTTACTGCTCATTCCATCTATTTATGACCTCTGGGAAAATGTATTTAGTAAGTCTGAGTTAGGAGAGAACTTCATATGCTTTTAACAATCAGGAACAGCAACAAAGAAGTTAAACTCCATTTTCTAAGTCACTTGGTCTCTTGATGGGAAACATTTGGTGTGTTATATCGGGGGAGAGAGAAGAAATGTCATTCTCTTCCCCATATTTGCTCTGTCCTTATATACTCACGGAAATAAATTGCTCATCTTTTGTATCCAAAGGATAGTGAATTTGCCTGTAAATACTGGGCCTGGGAGCCTGAGACCTGATCCTCAAGTTGTGGCGAAATAAATGTTTGGTACCTGGGAAACATTGAAAATATTACCTATAACTCCTATATGACTTTATATTCAATTTCTGTGCTTTTTATGGTTAAAAGTCTAACAGAATAAATGAAGTTTTCATACAGGTTTAATAGTAGCAGAATTATAATTTGCATATTTTAACCAAAGAAAACCTGTTTAAGTCTAAATAATAAAATTTGTAGCTATGAAACAATGATCACATCTAATTCTTCCCTTCATGAAGCTGCATCTGCTCATCTTCATAAGAAGAGGAAAAACGATGGCTTTATCCTGAGGTGCCAGACATGGCAGGCTCTGTGTTCAGACCTGGCTTTAAGGACAGACTGTGAAGGATGAGCTTACTACAAGCAATGTAAAGATTAGCACTGAAATGCCAGCTGGGCGTTCTCATGCTTTCTGTTGCTGGTGTCCCTCATCAGCACTAAGTGCTGATCCCAGTTTATGATCCCAGATGAAAATGAATGGAATTTATTGTTGCCTCCTAGTTTGATCAACTCTACTTGTGTTGTATCTGACCTTGTCTATTTGAATGAACTGTCTAGGTACTTTGGTTGCTGATAGTTCACTCATGGTTGTGAAATACATAGCACTGAGTGAATGCCTTTGTTTTCTGTGTAGGTGTCTTTGAAATATCACATGGCTCTTGGTTAGGTTCTTTCGAACTAGTTCAGAATCTGCATTCATCTTGATAACTAGCAACTTTCCATAACCAATGACAACAGGGTTAGGCAATACCTCTTTATGACAATCAAAATAGATAAAACCAGAGAAACTTGGAGGGCAGGGGGATGATGATCGAATTGTTTGGTGAATGGAATGATCTGTAATTTAATATTGTCAGGAACTATAACATGCAGTTATGTTTCAATTAATTTGACAAATTAAAGTTATTCTGTCCTTTTTCCTTTCCTTTTTTTTTTTTTTTTAAAGCTACCTTGTCATGCCATTTATGGGAACAGATTTGAGTAAGATAATGAAGCATGAGAAACTAACTGAAGACCGAATCCAGTTCCTGGTTTATCAGATGTTGAAAGGCTTAAAGGTTTGCCACTTTTATTATTATTTTTGTTTTCATCATCTTTTTTCCTAGTAAACCATTATGGAGAGCTATAAATACTCATCATTTGATAGCAGGATAAAATTCATCTCACCTCATCTAGTAAAAGTAATGGCATTCTGCATAGCAGGTTTGTGATGACAAATGTTACCTGGGGATTTTTTTTGTATGATGGTTTTGTCTGTGACTTTTTTCCAAGCAAAAAGAAATTCAAGATCTATATAATACATTGATCTAGGATGACTTTTTTTTTTTCCTTATTTGAGTACACCATAATGTCCCTGCTTTGATTTTTAGTTGCCGCCTTTCCCAGTAGTTGATTCTGGTGCCTCCTTGCCACACCTCTTACTGTGACTAGTTGGAGGGTGTAGAGACTGAGGATGAAACCAGTGCTAAGTTCAGAGGCAGGACCTGACCCCTCAGTTATGTCATCAGCTTCAAATTTCTCTAATTTGAAAATTTTTCCATGGCTTACCAATACTGGTCTGATAGACTGTTGCTAAGGCACTCTGTACCCAACCTGCTCTAAGTGTATCTTTCTGTGCTCTTCTGAAGAGCATATATGCATTTATGTGTGTGTTATATACATATAGATCTGCCTGAGGGGTGTGCAGATACGTGTGCGTGTATTTATACCATACCTGTATGTGTGATATATATCTACATATAGATATGCGTGTATATATATAGTTATGGTATATCTGTACCATACGTATCTGTCAACCTACAGGTGTGGTATTTTGGGGTTAAAGTCTGACCCTGAGAGGGATTCTGAGCCCTGTTGACTCCTAGTGCTCACACTGGTTCTGGGAAGTGTTCAGGGACCACGGCAAATGTCAGTTTGGTCCCTGTGTGTTAAAAGCCCTGTTCTGCAAAGTACTAAAGCTTATTGCTAAATTTAAGTAGGTAAGTCACTGGGATTATTTATATATTGAAATAAGTTTCTGAGCCAGATGCATGAATGTTTTCTGTGATATTTAAAAGTATGTGTCCTTTGTGTAGCATGCATGTAGAGTTAAAGAGTCTCTGAAGTCTCCAAGTCTGGGACAGCTTTGACAAAGAGAAGGACTGTGGAATTTAGTGACAAATCTGAGTGGGAATTGGCTGAGAGGAGCACAGGTAAATCACTTACAAGCCCAAACTAACAGGCACCTGAGTTAAACAGCTGTGAAATAGGTCAGAACGGAGTCCACTGAAAGAAAATAACTTTTTAATGCCTTTTAACAGACTTGTGAGATTGGAAGTGACCTCTGGAGACTGTGTAGTCCAACATCCCTGCACAAAGCGAGGTCAAACTGAGCAGGCTGCTCAGCAGATTGTGCAATTGGGTTTTGAGAGTCTCCAAGTATGGAAACTCTACAGCCTCTCGGGGCATCCTGTTTCAGGGTTCAATCTCCCTTACAGCAAAATAAGTTTTTCATATGTTAAAATGGAAATTCTTGTGTTTCAGGTTTGCCTGTTGCCTCTTGTCCTTTCACTGGGCGCTACTTAGGAGTATCTGGTTCTGTCTTCTTTACTGCTTCCATCAAGTATTTATGCATGTTGATAAGATGCACCGTGAGCTTTTTCCCAGCTAAAAAATGCTGATTGTCTCAGTTTCTCCTCCTGTATCAGATGCATCAGTCCCATAATCATCTTCATGGAGCTTCACTTGATTTGCTTGAGTGTCTCTCTTTAACTGGGAAGCCCAGCGCTGGACACAGCACTCCAGGTGTGTCTCACCAGAGCTGAGAAGAGGGCCAGGATCATCTCCCTCAAGTTGCTGGCAATCCTCTACCAAATGCAGGAGGGTTTTAGTTATCTTTGCTGCAAGGGCACATTGCTTACATTCAGCTTGTCCATCAGGACCTCCACGTCCTTTTCTGCCAACCCCCAGTCTGTATTGGTGCATGGGATTATTCCTTTCCCGGTGCAGGGTTTTGTTGAATTTTGGTGGGTTCCTGTCAGTCCGTTCCTCCAGCCAGTGGATACCTCCATCTCTGCACACTTGGACAGTGTCTTTCCTGCTGGGTGACCTGACTCTGCTTCCACCTCATGTACGCTTCCTTTTCATGTGTCAGTTTCCCTAGGAGCTCTTTGTTCATCATGCAGGCCTCTTGCCACCTTAACTTGATTTTTGTCTTCTAGTGTCTGCTTTTTGTAATGTGCTGGAATTTTACACTGTGAAATTATGGAAGGATTCGTAATAGGATAGAAGGGACCATTCAGATTTGTCTAGTTTTGAACTGTGTAGAAAAGCTTCATCTTGTAGCTTTTCCAGAAAGTTGTGAGGATGGCATCTAGGGAAGAATAATAGTTTAATTGCACTTGAACAGAAAATATAACCAGATTCCATCCTTAAGTTAGTTGTTGGGCTTCTTCATGATTCTTTTTTTTATTTTTCTTCAGAGAATAACCCTGAGTGAAAAGCCAGTTAAGCCTAACTGTTAATCCCCCACTCTTTCTCAGAAATAATGTTTATATTCCTATCTCTTTGGATCTTACACTTCTGTGGACTGCAAAGCCAACAGCGGTAGCAAAACAACATACTTTTGAATTTGACTGACTCTCACAAAGAGGATTCTAAATGTATTAGCTGTTATATACTTTGTATGGTTTTCTTCCTTATCTTTTTGCTAAATACTGTTTATTATCGCTACTGCTTTTTTCCTTTATTTGGCTTTTAAAAAATGAACGAGGCTTATTAAAGTTCATATGTTACAACACAAAAAGAAGATACTCCTTAAACTCCCTGTCCATCTATAACCTACATTAATGTGATATGAAAATGCTTCTCAATCAAGATTGGTACTGCAGCTCTTAAATTACAGTGTCTGCTTTTGGGGTGTTCAAAACTTTATAATAAAAATGATATTACTTCTTTATTATTTTTTAATTTTGGTGACACAATTCCAGGAGAAGAAAAACCTTGACCTAGCTCTGCACGCTTCAGCCAGGCTGTCCTTCAGGGATGGCTGTTTAACTCCCTTTGCTGCTCTGGAGATGCAGGTCGTAATGAGGCTGTGGAATGGCACTGTCTGGAATTGCATGTCGTTCCTTGGCTGTTGCTTGCACCGTACAATTTTCGTTTTATGGTCCTGTGCCTGCAACATACAATGTATGGGCAGACTTTCCTCTGCGCTCATACAGCAATAAGTGGAGTCAGCGTGCTGGAAGGTGTGTTGCATAGGGATGTGCTTGTGGAGTGGAAATACAGAACTGGTTTTGATACAGGAAGGTCTGGCACATCCATCAGGATACAGATTCTTCCAGATCTGTATTTGCTTTGCCAAACACTATTAAAAATAACTAATATCGCAGGACAGCATTCTGTTCCTGGACAAGAACATCAGGAACACCATACCCAGTATTCCTTTGTCTCTCGGTACTTAACAGGTACAGAAGGGGAAGTAAATTGTTTTGCTGCCATCACAAAACTTAGGAACTATACTTAGTTGTTGAGTCCTGCATTATTAATTTGTCTTTGACCCTACTTCAGATTTTTTTGGTCTTAAGTCAGTAGATTTTCACTCACACAGCCTTTTACGTACACTAAGTAATTATCCTTTTTATTCTACAGCTGTGCATTTAAATGCTGTTAATTCGCATTTTCCAAATGCAGAAGCTGAAGCCAGGTTTGGAGAAATGGGCTTTATTTAAACCAGATGGAAGTAACTTCCAATCTGGGCTTTGAATGTGGAGCTACAATTTCAGTTCTGCAGTTGGTTCCCTAATTACAAAGCCATGTAAGCGTTTTCCTAGTGTTTTCTCAAGGACCATATAAGTGGAGTGGCCTGTTTTGTTGCAGGTAACTCTCTGGGAAACAGGTTTCCAGCAGAGTCATGCTATTCACAGAGATGAAAAACAGCATTTGGGCTAATTTTATAGGCAAGCAATATATGAACTATAAAAAAATTAGCTTGAGTTGAGTTTAGTGGAAAGGATGAATTATTAATTCAATTCCAGTGAAATGGCTTAGACACGTATTTTGGTCCTGTTGGCCTAGATTATCTCAGAGAGGCCAATAACTCTATTGGAGTGTGTGAGGCTTGAAGGTTGAAGTCTGTTGGGTCAGTAAATGTGGGAGGCAGGTGGAGGACCTGTGCATGGTTGATACAGACCTAAAGTAAACAGAACAGGACTTTAAGGAGGATGTATCGCATTTATGGGGCAAGGTTTTGGTAGTAAAGGGCTGCAGGGGTGGCTTCTGTGAGAAGACAGCAGAAGTTGCACCCATGAACACTCCCAGCCAGCTCCAAAACTGTATAAACCTGTCCTCTACTGTCTAAACCTGAGCCCATCAGCAGCATTCATGGCACCTCCATGATAACATATGTAAGGAGTGGTTAAAAAAAAGCCGCACAGCAGCTGTGAAAGAGGAGTGAGCATATGTGAGGGAAACAACTCTTCAGACAACCCAGGTCAGTGTGGAGAAGGAGAGGGAGGAGGTGCTCCAGGCGCTGGAGCAGAGATTCCCTGGCAGCCCGTGGTGCAGACTGTGGTGATGCCGGCTGTGCCCCTGCAGCCATGGAGCATAGCTACCTCAGGATAACCAGCAGGAAATAAGACGTTATTCAGCTACTAGACTCTAATGTTTTGTCATTTCCTATTGCATAGTAAACATTTGAGAACCATCTTTAATGTATCTGTTCCATTACATTTTGGATTCTTCTTGAACCAATTCATCCAGCCGCAATGCTACATCTAGTTGGAAATATCTTCAAGAAGTAGGGTTGGTCCAGTGCTTGAGGGACATTCTTGCAGCACCATCCAAGCTAGGAAGTGGGTTAAGCTGAAATCGGTATTGACAGCTTGCAGAGGAAAAAGGAACGGCTTAGTAATTCATTTTTTCTTTTACAGATATCAGTAAGTTAGCTGTTTAAGAAAGGATCTGCCAAGTCTTGCATGAAAATCTTTTGCTTTTTAAGGTCTACTCTATCTGGATTAAAGACAGCCCATCTGTGTTTACTTAGAGTGCTTTTTTGAGGGATGGGAGGAACAGAGCATACACTTAGCAGTGCTCAGGTGAGGCATTATAAGGGAAGAATACTTACAACACCTGGGAAGGAGGAATATGCAAGGCTGTAGATCACTGTTCTAAAACTCTTTCAACTTCCCAAGCTTAGCCTCTCATTTTTATAATGCCTTTTTTTTTCCCTCCCACCTTTTAACTTCGATGGACTCTATTTTGGGGTGGCTTTTTTGGTGTCATAGATGTTACCTGCAATACATGTTTGTCCTTTGTGTGAAGCACATAAACACTTTATGGTATCTGTATTTATATTTGGTCAAAGGCAGGAAGGCTGTTTGTCACTTCTGTCACATTGCACACTTCTATTGTAACAACCTGTTTATATGTGACAGTTAAATGCATGTTAAGAAATCTCTGCATGAGTGCTTTATTGTGAAGGCATGAAAGAGATTTTTGCTAAGTCCCCAAGTCCTTTCTTTGCAGACTTCATTTCTGCATGCTACCTGTAGGCTGTTTCTGGATTGGCTGTATACTGATGTGCTCAACAGGCTTGATTTAATATGTATAGATATAAATTGAGGTAAATAGAAAGTTCATACTGAGTTCAGGAAGATTTGTATCAAGCCCTCAGATCTTTGCTCAGTAAGCCTATACAGTCCTTGTTTGTCAGATTTTGTTCTTGCTGTTTTTCTGTTGTCTTTCTATAGAGAATGAAATACTCATTTTCTTTCTTTGGTGAGCACTTACCAGAATTTAACTTAATCTGTGGTAGGAAAAACTGATGTGATTTGACACCACTTAGAAACAGCGATGTGCCTCTCCTTTGTCTGCTTCCCAGTCAGGCTTTAGTCTGGCATTAAATTTTACTTAAATATGAGTCTGCAACTTGGAAGGGCTTCCATCGTTTTTTTGTTTGACAGAAAAGCTGTGTATTGTCAAAGAGTACAGAAGGCAAGCTGAACATAAATGTCTTTATGTGGGTGGAAAGTGGCTGGAGCTTCCAGCGCTTGCAGTTTTGGGTCCCTTTCCTGTGGGAGTGCCAGTTGGGCTCCTGTTCCCAGAGGTCTGGGGAGATGGGTGGCAGTCCTCTTTCTTTATTTGTACAGTATTTGAGGAGGGGCAGCTAGCTCTTGGGCCACACAAACACCTGTTCAAGCTTCTTTTGCCATGCTCATGGTAATACTTGCTCTAGTTTCTCTCCTTTTATCATCTCTATTCACTGTCTTTTGTTCACATTTATGTTGTTCTTTCTGCTTTTCTCTTTTTCCCTTCCCCCTCTCACCCATTTCCTCTTCAATTTTTACTTCCCTGCCAAGTCACTCATTTTCATTGTGCGTGCTGCCTTGAATACTTTCTCCTGAGTCTTTTCTAATTCCCTTTTGATTAGCTTTTCATTTTGTGTAGGGATTGCATATGCAGACAAGAATGCTTAGAATTTAGACAACTGCTGGATAGCTGCCTAGCACAATCTGAAGCTTGTCTTCCAGTACCTGAAGGGGCCTACAAGGAAGCTGGGGGGGACGGGGGACTTTTTACAAGGGTCTGTAATGGCAGGACAAGGGGCAATGGGTTTAGATTGAAAGCAGGGAGGTTTAGATTAGATATCAGGAAGAAATTCTTCACGGAGAGGGTGGTGAGGCACTGGAACAGGTTGCCCAGAGAAGCTGTGGATGCCCCATCCCTGGATGTCTTCAAGGCCAGGCTGGATGAGGCTTTGAGCAACCTGGTCTAGTGGAACAGGAGGTTTGCACTAAATGATCTTCGATGGTCCCTGCCAACCGAAACCATTCTGTGATTCTGTGATTTATACATGCTACCAACACTTGTCTTCAGGATAATGCACAGAGCTCCTGTGCTCCAAGGCACTTTGCTCACATTAACTGGAGTCTTAAATCAAATATTGTTCAGGTGAAGTGGTAATAACATTGTGAAGGATCTATCTGCTCTGGTGTGGGTATTTTTGCCATGTTAAGAGTGAAAAATCTGTCAATAAATGGATAGTTCAATGAGGACAATCAGTAGGAATAGAATCCCATTTCAGAAAGCTATTGAGCTCAAATGGAAAATTTTCTGAACGAATACTGACATATTTCCCATGCTGCTACCTGCCAGTAGATAATAAAATGCAGTTAAAAAAATACTGCTATTGTTAAAGAAACTGCAGGACAGCACCGGTATTTTAGTTAATAGAAGGGCTGATATGTACATTAGGCACCAAGAATAAGTGTGATTTTGTGTAATATCAGTAGTCTTAAGAAGTGTTTAGAAAAATAAGAGTTCTCCTCAAATATTAACATGATTTTGGTGCTGTGAACACTCATAAAACCTCAGTGGGGTGAGAACGCCAGCAAAACCACGATCTTCCCCCAAACAGGTACAATTAACTAAAATTCTGAAGGGTGCAGTCCTTTTATTTCCTGATTCTATGTGCCACATTCTTAGGTGCAGAAATTCTTTGGTCTGCTTCTTATTTTCTTGCTGTGTACAATCATACCAGCAAAAATAGCTTTTAGAATATTTTAAGCATCAGCTTTGGAAAATCAAGAGGCTTCAGTCAGAAGGCAGTGAAATGATTTGGAAAGCAAGTAGTCATTGTGATATCCTTGAGGAAGATAGTTATTGGCAAAAGCTGTCTGCTTTTTCTTCATTTATTGGGAGTCCAACTACTTACAGATACATTTCTTTTAAAAAAAAAAAGTCTGGTCTCTGCGTACAAATGAGAAACTTCCTCTTTGTGCATGTGGTTCCTCCCGTCCCGATGCGCTTCATGCACATCCATGACAGACACAGCATTTTGTAGTTCTTCATTTGCTGAAGCGGTTTCCTTCCTTTTGGGGAACAGCCCTGCACCCTCAGCCCCTTGTGTCTGCTGCAGGAAATCCTGTGAAGGTCTTAGGCATTTCCTACGGGTAGTGGTAAACCTTGCCTAATCTGCAAGCGGTACGCAGAAGGAACTGCTCTGCCGCAAGTGCCAAGTCCTGGGCAGACTCCGGCACGACAGACAGCAGAGCCCTACCGTGCTCTGGGCTGCGCTGGTAAAGTTGCAGCCACAAGGTTAAGGGAAGTGAGCTTTTCTTTTTCCCCTCTGTTCAGAACCTAGGACACCACATCTGGAGCACCGTGTCAGGTATAAGAGAGGAAGAAGCAAATGACAGACACTTTATTTTTGTTCAGTCATTGCTTTAAAAACTTGGTGCCTTACATACAGGGCTTGTGCTGCTTAGGTTGCAGGGGTTCTGTTTATGTTCAGAAACCGAAGTCTGGAATGCACATTGGATCTGCCTGAAGAAGTTGGCTTTGATCTGTAGCTCCGCTTCCTTTTCTCTGGTCCCCTCATCAGGTGGACTGTGAGGATCCTTTTGCAGAGGGACTGTTGCATTTCCAAGGTTAATTGGAGGAAGACAATGATTGCTGGGGCTGTGGCTGGTTGGCATTTACTCTGCAGAGTTCAGTGCTTCTGTGCATCTCCTTGAGACCACCCTGGCTGGCCCTGGTTGGTCTTTCCTGGCTCTGACCACTGGTTCCCAGTAACTCCTTCCCAGTTACTGCTCCGTTCTTTAAAGTGGAATAAAATAAAAACTCTCCAGGTGAAGCTGGTGGGATTTGCATCTCATCATCTGTTCTGGGGACATTTTAAAGCCCTTAGTGTTCTTGTGTTGCGTAGTGTCAGTAGTTTGGGCTGCCATCAGCAGTATGGTCTGTGGGGGTTTTGGATGAGTTACCCATGCCTGAACAGTGCTGACGTTCCCCAGGCTGCTCTTGGAAAGCACATCCTCCGTTCAGGACAACTTTCTTCATTCCAGTCCTTGTAAAAGAGATGCCTGTGTCAGAGTTACTAGAGGCTCCCTTCATTGTCCATGATGAAATTGTCTCTTCTAAGGCATCATTCAGCTGGTGAGAGGAACTGCGTACCTCATCGGGCAGCATTTGGTGACAGACAGCTGTATTAGGTCAGGTGTCTCCCCAAAAGAACTAGTCCTAGGTGTCCAGTTTGTTGGTTTGACTTTCAAAAACCCTTTAATAGGTTACTGGAAGGGTGATGAAGATGTTTGGGTAAAGGAGAGTGTCTTCTCGATGTTGCCTTGAGGAAGTGTTGAAGCAAGAAGCAAGACTTCTCAGCTAAAACCTTGGCTGGTCTTCATCCTGATCTTAAATGATTTCTTAAATGATTAAACTCAGCACTGCTGGAGCCTATGAATCTAAACCATGATGGCACACAGGAGACAACAGTTACAAGTGATCATTTCTGATATATAAAATAGCAGGATTTATTTTGATACATATATATGTCTAGCAATGCCAAAAATTAACTGGAAACAGAATTTTATGTATGGGGAGGATTAGAAAAAAACGGTGTGGTCTCTTCTTGCAGTACTCAGAACAGATTTACTGGCTTCTCGTTACTGGGAGAGGGGAAGGGAAAAATGCTAGTTTAATTTTCTGAACGTTAAAAATGGCTGAAAAGATCTTCTGTGCAATAAATAAACATTTTTTAAATTTTTGATTACTTCAGCACCATGAAAAAGTACTTTGTCTCCTGCCTCAGACAACTGCTTAAAGTCAGGACCTCATTAACTAAAACATACTTTCTCTTTTTACAGTATATTCACTCATCAGGCATAATTCACAGGGTAAGTAGAAATAATATAGAAGACGCATATATTCTGATAACGTGAGTGGTGCTTCTGTATAAGCATGCTCATAAATATGCCTGAACTTCAGTGTATAGTGTCTCTGTTTATACTGTTTGATGCTGTCAGTTTCTTGTTCAGTAGAAACAAAAGGTGGTATGGCTGCATCAGCGTGATTTGGGCACTCCAGTTGCATTCCATACAGCCGAGGCTTGGATTTCTTAAATTACCATGAGAAGTTGGATTCTAAGTCCCCACAAGAGCAAATAGTGTTTAAACTGAGGTGGAAAAGAGGGTTTTTTCTGCCTTTATTTTTTAATGAACATTAAACTTTTAAAAACAATGTTTAACCACCATGTTAATGTTCAAAGGGGAAGGTGGGTGGAATGAAAACCTAGAAACTGAAAAAATAGTCCAAAATTTGAGAACCTTGAAAATATTTTTTTTTTCCCTGAGACAAACTAAGTATCTTTAAACCTTGCTGTGTCTAAAGTCCACTTAAAATCACTTTTGGAAAGAAGGAGTTCCGAACGACACCCCCATGGTACCAAGCAGCGTAACATCCCCAAAAACTGCATTAGAACAGTAGCAAATGGCATTTGTAATGAAGTATCAGGAGCACCACAGAAAGTGCACGGTGTATAGTAGCTTTAAGCTGGACATGGGAACTGTGCAAACTGCCAAAATAATGTAATACATTGATATTTTTATTTCTACAACTGCTGTGATCATAGTTAAACTTACAATTGCTTAGACTTTTTCTAAGCTCCTTCTTGAGGGCTCTTGAGCTTCTTGGTTTCATTGTGGTTCTTTGCACCAGTTTGTTTCTCTCCAAGGCCCCTCTGATCTTAAAACATATTCATATGAAACAGCTGGATGCCTGTTAAAAGTTTGAGAGAAGATTCTTCTGAATGTCTTGTGCTAAAGAGTGTCAAAGAGGAAAATTTATTTCTCTTTTTTTTTTTCTTTCTCTTTTTGACTGTGAATGTCTAAGAATCACTGACATTGCAAAATCTTCTTTGTCATTGCCAGTACTCTTCCCTTTGGTGCTAAACTTAGAAGTACAACTTTTGTAGATCATTAGACGTCTCTAAGTAGCTGGAGAGGTGTTAAGGGATTTTTTTTTCATGTTTTCATGTTTCTCCATTCAGTTGACTTTGTTAGGAAATTAATTATCTCACAGAAGAGAGCATAGGCTTTTATGTAAAATCTTGTTTGATTCCTTCAGTACTCGTTCTAGGTCTGTCAGGATATGGAATCTTTTTAAAGTATATTTTGATATGCAATGTGTACAGTCCAGAAATAGCGAAGGAAATTTATTTTATCCCATCTCATTATAAATGAATCCTTAACTTTGTGGTGTTAGTATTAAATGCAACAAATTTATGTCCAAACCTCACTCGCAGTAAGATGAGCAAGTTCCTTCACTGGCAAGTATTTTCCTGGCTTTTAGCAGGAAAAAAAGGTTGATTTGTCCAGTGGGGAAACATACTGGAAAAAGCCAAACATATCCAAGTTTGCGCCTTTGTTCCTGTTATTTGTTACATTTAATTTTCTAATTTAGATTTGTGGCATTGTTTTACCTGTTGTTGTTCTCAGTAGTGTATGAAAACAATTAAACCTGAAAGAAGGAAAGTAAGTGTGCTTTGTGCTTGCTGTAAAGTAAATAAATGTCCATTTCAAATCTGATTACAGGATCTAAAGCCTGGAAACTTGGCAGTAAACGAAGACTGTGAATTGAAGGTAGGTTATGTTTATTTGAAAAAAAAAAACAACAGTCAGATGTATTAGGAATACACCGCAGGAGACAACGGGTGCAACAGCAGGTGTGCTGGTTGGTTTCAGTGATGGGCCAGGCTTTCAGCCCACAGGCTTTGAGGAGTTATGGAAAAATAGAGGAACGCTGGAAAATGGAAGAGGTTCAGATGGGCAGTGGTAACAATCTTGAAAAAAGAAATTATGAGAGACTGCCTCATGGGAAGTATTTTGCCATTTGTCTGACTTCAGTCACCACAAGAATAATTAAATACTTATTTAAGAAATAAAGCCCTGAATAGTGAGAATCTATTCATCTCCTATTTGTGTGTCCTTGACCGACATAAATGTGCCTTTCGTGTGAGTGGCAGGGGTGAAGGGCGGTGTAAGAACTGGAACTGCTTCTGCAGGTTTGGCCTTGACGGAGCAGCCCGCGCCAGGTGCGCGTGCGTGACAGCGGTAGCCTTTCCCCGTGTGCTGTGTGCGTTGCAGTGAGCGCTGTGATGTCTTTATGCAGTCACCCAGCTGAAAACGCTTTTCAAGAAAAAACCGTGTCACGGTTACAGTCAGGTAAGAGCTGTAGTGCAGAATCGGTTTATGATACGTTGCAGCTAATTACTTCAGAGAGGCATGAGAGGAAGCACGTTGCTCACCACGAACAAGAACATCTTATTTCTTTGGAAGTGGTTCCTTCTGCACTGTTACAGCTAACAGTAGTATCAATTGCCTGTAGACAACAGTGTATTTCACAGTAGGAATATATCAGTTCTGCTTCATTTTTGTTCGTAATTGGTGAGGAAATAAAAAAACCCTTAAAGGGAGACAATCCCTAATTCAGCCTCCTACAGTTCAGCTCTTAGCTGTTCCTGCAGCAACACTGCAAGGCAGGTGTATTTGATGGCATTTTTTGTATTGACTGGTTACTGCTTCCCTGGGGTGGGGCAAGTATTGGCGTGTACGGTGACTTCCTTCATTCTACCCATCTGGGCTTCCCTCCAAAGATGGGTGGGAGGACGGTGCACACCCACACCCCTTCCCAGTAGTGTAGATGTTGCCACTTCCCTGGAAATGTTCTATGCAGAGTCCATCTGAGTTGTAATTCTTCTCCCGTGCAGCGTTTGTCACCTCAAGCCTCCTTCTAAATCATTGAACTGAAATACTGAATCTGACCACTTCTGATTGCAATTTCTTACATGTATTAGAAATCTTCCAAAAGCTGTTAGAGAGGATAATATTTGTGCTTCAGAAATAATTATGCAATATGCCCTGACCTAGAAAAATGCATCTATTCAGCTGTGTAGAATGACTTACTTATAAAAATCCAATTATTCATTTTGAAGTAGAATTATTTAGTACTCAACCCTGCTCGTTTTAGGAATATCGTTTATTTTCTTGAGTGTAGAGATAGCCTCAGACTGCTTCCAGTCCCCAGTTAATTCTATTCTGTTCTTGCATTTTAATAGATCATTATTAATCTTCAGAATTGTTTTTGTCACCTGTCTTCTCTTAGCTCTAGCAATCCGAAAGGCCAGTCAGTTTTTCAGTTAATTACAAAATCAGTCTATGTCTTCTGTCCTGAGGTTGAGTCATGACTGACCTATACATCCTCACAAAACAACAGTAAATTTGAACGGGGACTTTTGTGCCCTGATACTTAAGTACATTGAGATCTTATGGCCAGGGTTTCCTCCCTAAAAGAGGCATAAGGCTTTAGGGGAGTAGTTCAGTTATTCATTCCAGCTTTGAATAAATATGAGAAGTCTAACTCTGTAACCTGGGAGATATAAGGTTGTGAAGCTCTCCCTTAATTAAATGAAATAAAAGTTGATAAAACACTACAAAAATGGTTTTTATCATATTACACCAAGTTATATAGTTGCATGTAGCTGTTACAATACGGTTTTTTGCTCTTTGGAGACTGACGTGAATGTTCAGGGTCCTGTCATTTCAGAATTTCCCTAACACAAAGATCTATTGTCTCCTCCTGGTTTGTAGGTGGCCAAATGCTGAGTGGGTCCCAGGGTGATGGGGGAAAAAACAAACACTAGAAAAAGCAGTTGTACATGTTTTGCTTCACACCCCACCCGCCTCAAGCTGTTCAATTAGATTTTGAGATGCAGCCCAAGTCTAAGACGTTATTCCATGATATGATCACTGTGTCTCCCTGTTAACACAGCTTATTTTTCTGTTACCTTGGACACTTTAAGCTTTTAGATAAACTGAGGCAAATAATTCTGTATCAGAACACGATTTTGTGAAATGACAAAGGAGAAAATGTAGCGTTAAGCTTTAGGTTTTGTTGCTTGGCTCTCAGAGTGAAATTATGTCGTCCCAGGTTGTACAATAAGCTCTGATGTCATATACAGAAGTGCAAATTTGCGATTGGGAAATACTGGTTGTCAAAAGGCAACTCCAGCCTATAAACAGAAATCAAACTATAATGTGTTGAGAAATGTGCATAAAAATTACCCAGGTGAGGGTTTAACCAGGGTCTCCCTTAACACTGAAGGAGTTGCACTGACTTCCCCCGCGTGCGGGTGTTGGGATGCAGCGGGCAGGACATGACCCTGCTCTGAGAGTGTACTTTCACAGCCAGTTTGTGACCACGCTGTCAGGGGTAGTCCGACCCTTTTCCCCTGCGTCTGTGCACTCAGCAGCTCCAGCGGCGACGAGGCTCTAGGCAAGTTGGAACAGTTCCTTGAATTGGCAATTAATTAATAAGTAATCAGTTTTGGTTTTCACAGTGAGCTTTCTGGCTCCCTCATCTGATGCTCTCAGCTGCTCCGTGGGAATCAGCAAAGTGACGGTGAAGGGTGCCTGAAGGGAAATCTCTGCCCTTTCTGCAGTCTCAAAGTTACAAGTTATTTTTGTTACGGTTACTGAAGCAAGTTAGGAAAATTAAGTTTGCTGAGTAGAAGGGGAGCTTATCCTTGAGGAGCTGAGGGGAATTTGCTCTGTCTTTCATAATTCCTGCGTTATAAAAAGGATTTTCAAACTTGCTCTGAAAATTACTTTGGAAGTTCCAGCTGAAAAGTTGAGGATTGGAGTATGAGAATAATAGTTTCATGTGAAGGTTGTTGTTGAAGTGGTCCCATGTTAATATTAAGTACTTAACAGGATACGCTTGTTCCTGACGCTAATGAATATGTAAAGGAAAAGGAATCCTGAAGTTAATACATACTGACTCACAAAAATTCTCGCTGCCAATTTCTGCTTTTACAAAAATTCAAACCCAAATTATATTCTGGCTGTTTCCAAGTGTCACAAGCCTTTGTATGGAAAATGCTTAAAAGTCTGTGACTGAACAGATGGTACCACATGTGACTTTTGACCTATGCCATAAAACTTCCTTTTTCCTCCCTCGCCTTCCCATGGCACTGGGATAGCATACTGTGTGCTCTGTATGTAGAATAAATGTGAAAGCTGCATATAAAGGTGTGTTTTGCTGTTGCAAATATTTTGAGTCCAGTAAATCTTTAGTGCCCAGAGAATCTTCTGTAATCAAGTGCATTTTACCGGTAAAAAATTAAAATATCTCCCTCTGCATCCTATTCCTGTTTTGAAATGGGTAGGTCATCAGCAGTTACGGGGAAAGCATGGAAATGATGTTTCAAGTATGGCAATAAAGATAAGCCATAACATTTTATACTCTTGATCCATGAATAAAAATGTAATTTTCCTTTCTGTTCATGTCAGGGAATGATGAAACTATCCTGAAATATTTTAAAATGTTTGCCTGGGAATGATGAAACTGTCCTGAAATACTTTAAAATGTTTAATTACAGAGAGCATGACACTCTTGGTATAGTAATGCACGGGCACTCCTAGTAAAAACATCTGCCCTGTAGGAAACAGATGAAGCCTGATGCACATGGGAGGTAGCGACTGCTCGTGCAAAGCTGCATATTCAGCTATCTGTGATGATGATTTATCTTGAATAGACTTTACGTACCCAAGCCCCCTGCCTCTTGTTAGAATCTTGAACTTCCTGATAAATGCAAACTGACTATCATTCCAAGAGTGGGATTTTCTTGCTGTTGGCATCTTCTGGCACCATCTTTTGATGGTCCAGGCAGGTGGGCGTTATTAGGCCGATTTTGTAGAAGTTGACAAAGGGCTGTAAACATTAATTTTTAATCTTGCTGCTGTAGACGTTTCCCTATCTAGAGATAAATATCTGACAGTCTTAAAAGTAAGCTGGTTTGTGCATAATCCTTTAAAAAACGTGCACTGACCATGCATTCCTTACAGAGGGTTGTTCTGTAGTTGATGCGGTAGATTGAAGAAAACTCAGTGGGACTAAATAATGCTAATTCCCTACTCTTGTTGCAGATTTTCAATGTGACCTAGAGGAAGCCTTCCCTTGGAGGAGTTACTCATCAGATAGAAATAATGATACCTCCTTGCTTCAGCATATTATTGGAACACACTCCGAATAATTGTGCTACCTGGGATATAGCAATGAATACCATCTAAGATGGGTGCCGTTCTTTTAGGCCTGATATGATACGAGGGTGATTCCATGGCCAGGGATTTTTTTGCATTGAGCGTGACTAGTATCTTTTTAATTGATAATTGAAGAATTTATTATTTTCATGACTGGTTTTACAGCTTTTAGTGTTACTATAGGAATATCTAACTTGGAAGAAAACTGCTCCTTGCTGCTTCTGTCTTCATTTTTAAAATCAGAACAAGACACTTCAGTGAGAAAAAGATACAAACATAAAGCAGTATCTCCAGATTGCTCCAGTTCTTTTATTTTCCGCATTTCTAAAGTCTGTATGAAATAGATAACTAGCTGCCTGATCAGGATGTTCTTTGTGCTTCCACTACAGATTCTGGATTTTGGCTTGGCGAGGCATACAGACAGTGAGATGACCGGTTACGTGGTTACAAGGTGGTACAGAGCCCCAGAGGTCATACTTAACTGGATGCATTATACCCAAACAGGTCAGCACCTCTTCAGAAAAGTCTTAACAGAGCTAGAGCATTCACTGAATCAGGCAGTGGTTAAGCAAGTCTTTGTTTCTGAAGTGAATGAGAAATTGGAGGTAGAAATGACAATATAATTACGCAGAATTTCCTGTAGATAAATTGCAGGTAATCGTTCCGTGGTTGTAAGTTTGGGGGCTTTTTTTGTGTATTTTCTGAGAGTAACAGAAAGCACCAAGGTGGTTGGAAAAAAGCAACATAAATGCATACAGATGTGACAGTCTGGTCTACATTCCTGTGTTCTGCACTGACACTCATCTTCCTGCAAAGATGTGCTGATCCTAACTCAGTCAGACAGGGGGGGATGGCAGGAGGACGGAATTCAAATAACGCTAGGAGAACTGCGGAAGTTTTTGGAAGCACTGAAAATTTACTTCCCACGTGCATCTGCTTGTTACTGAGAAACTGATTCTGCGTGTTATCAGATTATCTCCAGTTTGTTAATTAGAAATGCTGGTAGTTTTACATATACTGTTCATCATTCTTGGCCAGGCACTCATTTATGTTGTAACAGGCTATAAAGGTAAATTTTACACTTCTTTAGAATAAGTTTAATTTAAAACTTTATGTACATTTAAATGGACAAGTATTCAGCAATTTAATGTGACTACTGGTCTTTTTTTCAGTTGACATCTGGTCTGTGGGCTGTATAATGGCTGAGATGATAACAGGGAGGCCTCTGTTCAAAGGAAATGATCGTATCCTTCGGTGAATTTATGACACTAATGTAAGAAAATGATGAGCGGTTCTTGTATGACGCAGTAGGTCTGTTCAAAAACCGATGACCATAAACTGAGATGAATACTACAATGGCTGGCACCTGTCTCATTAATTGGTTATTTGATACCTGCACCACTTTTGCACATCTGCCATTTAAAACTTGTATTACTGAACTTTTTCAGTGGAGAAAGATAGGTGATCTTTGAATCACGTCTCAAATCATCAGCTAAAAGGTTCTGTGATGATAGGAAAGGCATCTTTTGATTTTTATTTTTACTAATAGACTCCACAATTCCAGAACACAGACAGAAGATTCTGCTGTAGTACATCGGCTTAGGTGCACATGCTAGTCCATTTCATGCTTTTTGAGACTTACCGAAAAATGTCACGTAAGTAACATCTAGTAAAATGTTTAAGATTTACAGAAAATCTCTCGTCCTATCATAATTGCTGAGAAATTAAGAAAATAGTTGATTAAGCCATAATTCAACCTCAAGTGATACTTCATTGGCAGGAGTAGTTGTGATAGTTAATAGAGGACGATGTTAATGGAAGACAGCAAGAATTTTTTACTTTTTTTTTTTTGTTTCCCAGTTTTGTATGCTCAGCCTGATCATTCTCCACTCCTTTTCCCCTTGTGGAGTTCCAGTCAATAAATTGCTTATCTGCAAATACTTGTTTACAGAATCACAATTATTTAATTTTGGTTATATTTGTATTTACGTACTTAGGCCTAAAATTAGGACTTCATTACATGGGTCACATTATTCTCATTTTGTGAGGGAAAACATAGAAGATTGCATTCGCCAAAAAAAATGACAGGGGCTATGTAAAAGTAGAATACATCAGATTAGTTCTGCTGTACAGATTTAAAGTATGCACTGGTTCTTAACAAGAAAATACTAAAATGCCTGCCAAAGAACAGCTGTTGACTAGCACATATAATTTGTCAACTACAGTTAACCTGGAGCATTTTGGAACATAAATAAGGAAATGAATGAGTCGTCATTTTCAAGTTGCACTGTAAACATAAGAGAGGAGAAGCTAGCATTTTAGTCATAGTGGATTTTGGAGTTTTCAGAACTATCGGCTGAAGTTCTGTGTCTGTGTTATGAATCAGTGTTACCTATTGTCAGGGAAATGCAGCCATGGGTTCAGCTGTGGGTAGGTGAATAAGAATAAAGGGGATTTTCATTTTAGCGTTATGAATAGGTTATCCTTCAAACTCGGTGTGGGATTTTATTTAATGATCTATTTCTTCAGCATTACCCATCATTTCCTTTTTCTGCAGTGGTTGGTGGAATCTTCATGTGCCCTGAGCTCTGATCCAGCTTCTCATCTGCTGCTCCTGCCAGAGTAGCAAACAAGTCATAAAGCTGTCCTGTGCATCATTAGCCTCCTGTAAATATGACATTTCTTCTTTGAAACAGCTAATATTGTTGCGGATTAATCTGTGGTGGTTTAGGACACGGAAGATTAGGGAGTGGTCTGATACCCTACCCTAACATCTCCAACATCTCAGCATCTGGAACTGAGCTAAGAATGTGGGAAATGAGTAGAAGATTTTTTTTTCCTCTTGAAGTTTCTTTGTGTGGAGAAGAACTAACTGGTTTTCTCTGATTTTTGTTCCATTTCTCATACCACCTTATGTACCCTGTGACTTTTTCTGCCTCTGTGTCCCCTAGGTATTGGCCAGACCAGGGCAATGTATGCAGTACATGTGCTGATTGTTCAGGTACTCCAACACTTCTGGCCTGATTTTGACCCAAAATACAGAGGTGGCCTGATGATACTGGAGAAGTTTGTAGATGATTCAGTTATGTGTTCCCAAGTAATACAATATTTTATTTCAGGTGTTTTCAGTGTCTTTGCCTTTTACAAGAAAAATGGACAACTTTCATCTCATCTTTTATAAATCTTCTGCACAGTTGTTGCAATGTGATTTTGCTTTATTCTCCAGTAGTGATGAAATGCACAATTTTTGCAGGGTGCTTAGTTTTCTTGTGATGGACGACTTTGTTCCTTATATCTGGTATTCAGATCTGGACCAGCTCACAGAAATAATGAAAATAACAGGTACACCAACTCAAGATTTTGTTCAAAAACTGCACAGTCAAGATGTGAGTATTCTGCTTTGTCAGTTCGTTTTACGTGTCCTAATTTTATTTAAGCCATTCTCTGTTCTTAGACTGGCTGAGACTACTATTGACTACTGAAATGACCCCAGATGGTACAGCTCTGCCTTGAAGTGCTTTGCACACCCAGAACAGCTACTGGAGGTTAAGGGAGGGAACAGAAAATGATCAAAACACTTGAAAAATCTTTATATTTAAATACTTCAAAGTTTCCATTGTGTACCATATAAACACTTAAACCAATGCGTTACTACTTTTACTGGAGACTTACTGAAAACATGAACATATTCAGAAAACCCAGTTCTTTGCAGATCTCGCTGACTTTGTCTTTCCTGTGGATGTCCTTCTAGAATCCTTAAGTCCCTACTATAAAGAACCTAAAATTATTCATTAGACTAACTGTACAATTTAAATACTAATGAATTACTGTATAAGGTTTACTTCTAGAGATTCCTGTAAACTCATTATGACTTTTAAATTATGCATATATATTTATTCTAATTAATATATTAAATATGGAGCATTAAGAATTAAAGTTTTACATTATCATTTCTTAATCACAGTTTTAAGGCTTGATTTAAAAAAAAAGTTCTTTCAACAAGAATGTGAATATAATTGGGGTTTACGACCTCAAAAAAATTCATTTTCAGTGTGCTATCAAAGCATTGTTGAGTTACCTAATAAGTGTATAGTTAATGTTGTTACATTACAAGAGCAGTAAAGTTCTAATTTAATGTCCATGTTTCTTTTAAGGCAAAAAACTATATCAAAAGCCTCCCAAAAGTCCAGAAAAAAGATTTTGCATCCATCTTGAAGTATGCAAATCCTTTGGGTAAGGCAGTTTATGTGGATGTGTACGATTTTTCTTGTTCTTGTGTTTGCGTTGGAGGCAGCAGCAGCAGTATCAGTCATGTAATAGGTTATGTGATAGTTCGTAACTTTTATTATGGTGGCTGAACTTTGCCAAGTTTAGACCCTGCCAGGAATCAGATGTTTCTTAGAAGTGTCAAAAAAGAAGTATTTTGTGGTTTAGGCTTCAATCCAGTATCTGCTTAATGGTTTTACTGGAGCAGCTTTCTCAAGAGCCCTGGGAGAATAAACGTATGCAATAATTTTTTCTTTGTATTGTATTTGAAATAGAATTCTGAAAGCTCCATCTGATCTGCAGTAGAAACGCAAGCCAATAGAAAGCTGACATTTTAGTCATGGAATTAATACATCCTGAGAAACATCTGGGCATTCCTAAGAAGCACTGGCTTGGATTTGATCGATATGAAATAGCCAGAAGAACATACCAAGTGTGCATAACTGTGACGTGACCCAAGGCAGTCAGAGCTCTGAGATGGCTCTGCCCAAACCTTGTTCATTCACCAGTGACCTCAACACTCACAAAGCCAGTTTTGTTAGAATATAAATTGGGATAGTTGAATCTTCTCAATTTAAGAAGTTAAAATTTTATGTTCCGACACGGTAGAAATAGACATGATTAATAAGCAGCTCTTACTCTGACTGCATGGTTAGCTCTCTGGCCTTCTCAGCTACAGCAAACTACACATTTCCATTCAGTTTTTAGAACGCTTCTTCCTATCACCTCAGCAGCTGTCTGGCTGCTTCTTACACAGAGAACAACTGTGGCTCATGGTCTGGGAGAGAAGGTTGGAGGGGATCCACGATGTGGCCAGCAGGAGTTGCAGCATCCTGTCCCACACTGCTGCCTCTTCTTCCTTTCTGCTGCTCCACCAAACCCAGAAACATTCTTCCAGGATAAACAAATCATTCATCATACACTAGCCCATTTTGACAGTTTAACCGGGGACCTAATCCAAAATCCACTGGACAGGAACATAGAAGGTTTTCATGGATTGTTTTGGCTGAGGTCAAAAACACCTAGCAGATAAAGTCAGCGCTAAGGTTCTGAACATGGACAACTGACTTCTCTTGTGGACATCAAAGTGTCCTTGGGCTTGGGTTTGGTCACACACAGAGCAGTTGTCATTAGCTCCACACCCGTCTGTTCATTCTGCTGGTTGTGATGTACCTTAGAACCACAGCACGGTGGCAGTGATGGAAGAGACCTGAGAAAGCCCCAAGCACGGTGGTCCTGGAGCCAGAAGCTGGGAAGTCATTAGTTGAGGTGCTGTGGCTGTATTGCATACAGGAGCAAAGGAGAACCCCTGCCTTGCGTCAGGCTTTGGGCACATCCCAGCTTGCTAGCCACACTGTTTCCTCATCCAGATGGGCCCCACTGGCTATAGAATGAGCACCCAATGATTCTGTTTTACAACTCTTCTGTATTTATTTGAAATATCTCCAGGGCAATGTTACTGTGTACAAACTGGAGTCAAAGGCATGATTTGAATACGCTGTTTGTTTTCTGTGCAATAGCTGTAAACCTTTTGGAGAAGATGCTGGTGCTGGATGCAGAGAAGCGAGTCACAGCAGCTGAGGCTTTGATGCATCCTTACTTTGAACCAGTTCATGATTCTGAGGAAGAAATTGAAGCTGAGAAATATGATGACACATTTGATAACATGGATCTTCCGCTAGATGAGTGGAAGCGTGAGTTTAGTTTTGTGATGTTTTCAAAAATAACCAGAGGGAAGTGCCATCCAGAAATAGGAATGTTCCCCTTTACAAATTACCTTCTCTGCTTTTGATGGAACAGGGTAAATAGACAGCATTAAGATCAACACTGTAAGCCAGTGTTCCTCTTAGCAAGTCCTCCTGGAACAACCCCCAAGGGTTTCTCCTCTGCCTCCCTCTTCTCCCTCTCCTCCATGTGTCTGTCCTACCATCTTGTGCAATGCAGGAAAGAAACCATTTCTGTAACATGTTCCTTCCAGCAGGTAGGACAGTGAACAGATTCCTCAATGGTTGGCTCTGTAGGACTGCAGTGGTTGCTGGCCTTTATTTTGAGTTAGGTTTTCTCAGGGAGAGAAAACATATTTATCTCTGAAGAGATTTAAGTCTGAAACTAGTTTTCATCTAAGTTCAGAGGTTTATATTTCGCCTTTTAGGTGAGGACGACTTTTAAAGATGATGCGCTCAGTAGTGGTTTCTCTAGTGCAGCTATTGCCCACGGTACTCAGCCAGTGCTGACATCCCTGTGAAAGCACCTGTAATGTGCTTGGTATTGGTCTACTTCTTCAAATCTGAAATGGTGAAAACCCAATCCTTAATTCCCGTACCTTTTGTACGTGTTTTGCCTGAAGAGGTCTCTCTCTTCCCGACCTAAATCAGAGCCTAACCTGGGGGTTGCACCTTGCTCGCGTCTGTGCAGCTCCTTTTCTGATTAGACCAGCAACACTATGTTTATTCTGTTGTTTCCCAGGCATTACTTATAAAGAGATCCTGAACTTCAAGCCATCGGAGTCAAAGGAGACAGCGGTGTGATTGTATGACTTGGTCTTTTCGGAACTCGGAAGAAAGCAGGGAAGTTGTAAATATTTGTGATGTTTCAGGTGTACAAAACTTCTGTGAATAAACTGGATGTAATCCGTTTCATCTGCACTGTAAGAAGGAGCAATGTCTTTTACTCTGCATGTGGAAGTTGGTGCCTTTGGGAGTAGCATTTCAAACTTACCCAGAAACTTATTCCTGCCTACAACTTCTTCCTTCTGCACAAAAGGATTCAGACTGTGATAACCTGGTGCCACCCTCCAAAGAACAGGTGGAACTAATTCTTCGGCTCAGAGAGCAGAAGAGTACAAGTTATCACCCCAAGCAAGCTGAGGCACAGAGTGCATCAGAGATGTGCTGTGACTGCCCTCCAAGGCCACTGAACTGTCTTCAATGCAGGAAGTATTCACGTGACTTCCTCTGGAATATTTCACCTCGGGAAGATGTCTGGGGAGGCTGATCACCTCCTGCTACTTCAGCTAGTGCAGTGGGTAGTGGAGACAGAGCCTGAATGAATGCCGATGTCCACTCTCCTGCGTGAGCAGAGGGGAACCTGAGCGCCAGCCAGTTCTGACAGATCTGGGCAAGAGGCAGGAGCAAAGAGGTGTCAATGTCCTAGATTTTTTTCAAAGTAGCCAGCGTAGCAGGACGCGATTCCACCAGGTGAACAGTCGCTGGATAAACAGTCACTATCAAGGGGTACAATATTTTCTTCTGAATACAGTGCAGTCTCTCCGTATAATAGATGAGGGATCAAGGATTTCCAGGGAGAAATTCTTCAGAATTTCTGAAATTTTGTAAGCTCTCTAGCATCTTAGTATTTAAATGGTCACTGAGAAAGGACATCTTCCCAGAGGATGTGTAGTTGGAGAATCAGTGGTGCTAATTTTAGAAATAGAGCTGCACATGGGTTGTGTTATAGAAAAAAATGAGGATAAAAATGTTATGCTGCAGCTGTTCACTGGGAATACCTGCAGCAAGCTGGTTTGTTCCCAGTGTATAGAGGTGTTGCCAGGTGAAGACTAACAACCATCCCTTGTTTTAGCCTTTTGAACTCATCTTACTTATGGGGGAAAACCCTCGCCCATCTGTTGGGAGTTGCCTTACCAGAAGGAGTCACCTTCCTGGTGGGATACTGGTTAGACACTTCGTGAGTCCCTCTTACTGTCTGGGTTAATTTCTTCTATTTTCCTAGGTGTTTAGTTTGTAGTAATCTCTCAGAGGTAGGAAAAAGAAATTGGCAAACCTTTGGTGAAGACTTTCTGTGTGAGATTGCTTGTCCTTGTTAATGTCTTCACAACTGACCATTTGGATGTGGGTTATCCCAAATGCAATGTGCTGTTGTGAAACAGATGTGAAGGAAGACATTTGATCATAGCAGGTAATAACTGGAAGAGAAGTAAGAAATTATTAGTCATTTTTTGCTTTAATAACCAAGTTAAAAGAGAATTTTAGTCAAGGCACATTTCTGTTATTTTCAATGAAGTTAAAAAACTGTAAATATTAACATTTGTTTAAAAATTACTTGTGATGAGCATTGATGAGCTCAGAAGGGCACGTAGAGAGGTTAAATGGTAATGGAAACCTTGAATTATTGATGTATTTGACAAGTCATTAAAAACTATAGTTTCAGGATTGCATAGAAAAAAAAAAGCAGAGAAAGTAATTTGAAACAAAACATTTTTCCACACTACATGTCACTGAGGAAGGCACCTGTGAGAGTCACACACCGTTTCACACTATTGACTTTCTGCTTGGACAACAGTTTTATGTTAAATAGGAACTTTATTTTTTACTGGGTAGATGTTTCCTCTTTTAGGATCATGCCCTGTGATCCTCTGTTGGAATTAGTGGGCTTGACAGAGCCAGGCAATGGGAAATGGAAGAATATAAAAAACTTCTTTGAAAATGCTCCCTCTGTATTTTAAATGGAATTTCAACATCCTACTTCCAGCAAATATCTGAGGTCTTGAGATAATGCAGATGGCTTAGATGTTAGTCATACTTCGAGGGACCATATTTTTAATTGAAAAACTGCTGTGCATTTTCTTCATAAACACTTCAGTGGGAATTTGCACTTCCCCCCACCTTTAGCTTTAATGAAGTTGAGCCCTAAAACCCTCCATTGGCTGAGGTGAACTTTTCCCTCTCTTAATTTTGATTTAGAAGCAGCTAGCCCACATGAGAAATACACGAGAAGATAATGTTAGTTTTTCTAGATACTGTGGGAATGTGGAACTCTTAAAATAACTGAAGAGAAGATCTTGATGCATGTGCCTGTGAAGACAGAGGTACTGCTGTGCTCTCTGGTCACCAAACAGTCTGTAATGGGAAATACCGAACATGGGAAGTTTGTCATCTCTCGGCAAGATGCTTCTGCGAAGAGATTGAAATCTGCAGAATCTGCTCCAAACAGCAATGGAGATTATTGGTATAAATACCTCTTTAAGAGAAATGTGAGATGAAAGCAGAAATATTTCACATGGAAGGCAGCTGTGGCTTCAAAGGCAGAGACAGCATTTCTGAAGTTTCCATTTGCTGTTTCTACTGGTGCTAAGCAACTCAGGAATAAGAACCCAATTTCTGTTTGCCTTAAGGAGAAATGTAAATACGTTCTGCATGTAGTTGAAATGTGTTGTGAAAAATAAAGGTTGAGGGCTTGGGTTTTTACACAATAATGGTCTTATTTTCCCTGTATGTATTCCCAAATGTATAATCACTCCTGAAAATAGTATTTTCAGTGTAAGGGAACTGTATGAAACCTAATAGTGTAGGTACATTTCATGTAACATGAGCTGCTGGTGTTTGTTTTGGAAGTCAGTCAGACCACAGATCCTAGCTTTTCTCCCATTTTCCAAACTTTTAAGTCAGCCACAGAGCAGACCTGATTGTACTACTGCCACCTAATTAGCTCTTACAGCATCTTGGGGTTTTACCAGACATCTCGGCTTTGTTCTGATGGACAGGATTTCAGACCTTAAATGAAGTTGCATTCTTCAGCCTTATTTTAAAAGCCAAAGTCAGATTGACAGTCATCAAGCGTATACATCTTTGAGTTGGACAGAGAAGTTTGAGTTAACAGGGGACACTGCTATATATGGGACCTTTGCCCTGAAAACCCACGTGTCCCAGGCTGTTTTAGAGCAAGATTGGCCCCTTAAATATTAGTCTTCATTGCATTGAAGACTCACCGTTCATGCTGAATTTTGATAATGTGTTGTGGTGGGTCGGATGTGGTTCACAATCTCACTTCTTGATTATTTTCTGGGTTTTTTACAGAATAACGTTGAGGTGAGTGCAAAATATGTTCAGGAGATCCACTTTGTTCTTGAATCGGAACTACCAGGTGTATGAGCTGGGTGGGATTCTTTGAGCTTTCTACTTTCTGACCTGTTGTTCAGATACAGATATCAGATGCTCTGGTCTGCTTCAGCTGCGGTTGTCAAGAGAATGAGGCATCTGTTAGATGCTCTCATTCACCAGGTCTTGATATGAAATACTCCTGTGGGGCTTTAGAGGGTCCCTGCAGGTACCAGGGAAAGAACAGGGGCTCACAGCACCTGCTGCCTCTGCTGATTAGGGCAACTGGTTGTGTAAGTCAATACCAGAAGCAGTTTCATGGGCTGCAACACTTAAAACTTCCTCCTAAGTATTTTTAAGAATTCGAAAGGATGAGTTGGAGGACGATCAAGGGAGGAGGACTGCCATCATACAGACACTCTTTAAAACTTCATGGACTACCAGTTAATGAGCAGCTCTTGTGCACAGATTATTTGCAGCCCTCTGCATTGCCACCTAGCAACCCCATGGAGCTCTCGGGCATGGGAACGATGCATGCTTTTTAGCTACCAGCAACAGCGTCCCTCTGCAAGGAGGTAAGTGGGGACAAGGAGTAATTTAAGGATTCGTTATTTTTGCCTGCTGATAGCCTGCTTTGCAAACAGAGCTTTTTTATGCTTAACTTCGTTACATTTCCATGCTGGAGTCTTATAGTTCGCTCCAAGGTCTGCTTCATCAGGAAGGGACGAGATGCGTTTCCCAGCTAAGTTTGAGTGAACCAGGCATGCAACTCTTACACCTTTCATTGAAGCATTTGGAATGTGCTGTTCTTTTTGAGAGGCAAAAGAGGCAAAATGAGGCAACCAGTGAAGGAACCCCATGAAGTGTAGTGAAAGAAATTGCTTGGTCCTGTTGGAGAACGCTCTCAGTTTTGCTCTGCAGGGTCCTGGGGTACATGCTTGTAGGGAGCAGGAAATACCTCTTGCTGTGGGGCCTGCAACAACGAGGCTCATCTGAGTGACACTCGGGATACCAACACAACCAAGGACTGCCACCTAATCAAATTCAGTCTGATACTAATGGGAAATTCATTATGGTTGTAACGGTAATACTATCACAGGCTGTAACAGTAAAATTAACTGCTCAGAAAACTATGAGCATTTAGTCCACTGAGGACCTGGGCCAAGGCAGCTTTTTTTCAGGCTTTTTAAAAGCTCCATTTGCAGATGACAGAGTTCCTGCCACCCAGTAGTACCACTTCGGCATGTATCCTTTGCTGTTCCTAGGAAACTCCTTACTTTTTTGGGTTTGAGTCAAGTTTGAATTTCCTTTTTTCATAAAAACAGTAGTGTGCTACTTTAAGGAGAACAGGTATGGATGAGAAGTGTAATCAGAAAAACATTAACTGAAGTTTTCTCTAAAAGAAGCCCCTCTCCTAAGATCTAGGATACATTATAAAATAAAGGTCAGTTATAAGAAATCAAAATTGCTACTTGGGAAGAATCCAGAACCATGGCTGGACTTAAAAAGTATTTTTGATTTGAGTTTGAACTCAAAAGAATCCCAGTAAGACTTCTTATTTAATGCAGAAACTTAGCATAGTATAAACTTTGAATAAAGAGGCATGACTGGTGTGCACAAAATGTCTGCTAGTCCTGGAGCAGGGCGCTTTTTTAAGAACAGGTTTGCATATTGATGAGGGAAGCACAACACTG